CTTCTCCATGTTTTGTTTGAACTGCTTCGCCTTCTGAGAAAATATAGTGTGTATTCATGCATAAATTCATATCCAAGGTAAATACCTGCTGTGGATCGATCACTATTAAAACATTCATTGAACAATGTTATATACAAAGTTGATGGCACTGTGATGAGTATTTGGGAAAAGAAACATAGTGGAATAATATAATGCAATATTTAGAGTACCAATTCAAATATTTTAAAGCTTTCAAAGAACACTTTTAAAGGATAAACAAACATCTGGTAGACCCCTCTGGGTTATAATTTAACATAACCAATATTATAACAAAGTCTACAATAAGGAAGAATATTAAAATGCAAAAAGTGTTTAAAAAATTAGGTGTTACCATTAAAAAAAACTTTTGAGAATTTTCTTCAGGTTTCCTTTGAATGTTATTCACACTAGTAGATTGGTGCTCTAATGTTCTAATTTATAGTGTTAAAAATTACTAATTATAAAAGTATCAAAATTCTAGGCAGAAAAATCTAAAGCTAAGTGAAATCACAAGTCAAATATCAATTTTAAAGTACAGTTGACCCTTGAATAACACAGGTTTGAACTGTACGGACCCACTTATACACAGATTTTTTTTCCCAGTAAATACGTACTACATGATCCGTAGTTGGTTGAATCTGCAGATGAGGGACCTCGGATATGGAGGGCCAACTATAAAGTTATGTGTGGAGTTTTTACTGCATGGGAGTTGGCACCCCTAATCACCGCGTTGTTCAAGAGTCAAATGGAATTACAGAACTTGATAGTAAAATTATTCATCTTCAAGGCAGTCTTAAGGATCATAGATAGTTACTGCATAAAAGCAAACACGCCTGTTTAATTCACAAACCAATTCTGTCTACATAATTCTTGAAGTGTCCAAAGTTTGGAACATCAAATGCCTATCGAGGCCAGGCAAGGATGTGTGAAAATCAAGCATGAAGTATACATCATACTACTGCCTAGCAAGTCAGCCTGTAGGCTACCAATCTGTGACTTTTGCTTTAAATATCTGGTAACAAATATTATCAATAAGAAGCAATCTTACACATACCCAATTCTTATTTATAAATTTTACCATCATCTATAGCAGTGTGACAAAACTGTAGAGAATCTCTGTATAATAATAATTAATGAGTAAATGTATCTGGCAAGAGAAGAGACTTTAATTTTCCACAATAGGAATGAATCCGATTTAGCTTAATTTTTCCTTGAAAAGATATTATGGATATGCTGGTAACACAATAGAGATATGTAACACAAACAAACATTTTTTTGTGTATTTTTTTATTGTTTGGAACACCAAAGTAACCCAAATTTCACATTTACAATGAAATTTTAAATAAAAATATGCTGTACATTGTATTAGAGATACATATACAAAAGTTTGGAAAAGTAAACACATACACTTATACAGTAAAGAGAATGTACTGATGAATTGCTATCACCTTTAATATGCCTTCTCTCCTAAATGGTCAACAACTGTAAACTGTTTCCTTTAGCTTTTATGAAATGACCACTGCTCTAGCTATTTTGAAGTGTGAGGTACTAAGAACAGATTCCTTTAAAATCAAGTGATAATGAGTGATTATTGTGCATCGAATAGTTTTATGTTTTCAGATTATCAGTTACTAAAATAATCAAAATCTCTAAAAGATGGAGGTGGTTCCCTACAAATCTGGCTGCGAGGGCTACTTCAGCCCAATTCAAGAAACAGGTAGTCATCACTCCCAAACTAACATCCACACTTAAGTCTGATCATTCAGAAAATTCTTTACACCAAACCATCCTTAAAGCACCCCACCACCTCCTTCATAACCAGGGCCTACAACAGAATTTCGGAAGATGTTTGTTGAAATCTTTTTTTTGGCCCCTCTACTTTAAAAATATAATTGCCACATTTCAGAAATTAGGATCCAAGAACTCAGTTAAGTCTCAAGGATACATTTAGCTTCCATTGTAAGAAAACAATTTGAGTATCATTAATAGGAAGAATACAGATACCATATTGTGCTATTTAAATGAAATGCCACTATGACTAACACACATTTTCTCAGTAAGCCAACTGATGGAACTTTAATACATGTGAACTTATCTCCTGGTCTAATATACCATGAAATATCTGAGGCAACCATGCCAAGATACATACTTTCCTAAAAAGGCTGCTTCCTCTGCTGACAATTTTAACAGTTTAAAATAAATCACAAGTAAGTAATATAACTTTAGAATTTCCAGTACTCTTCTCTAGGTATGCTAAATATCGTCTATGACATTCCTTACCTGTAATAAGCACCCACCATTCACTGAGTGCCTACTCTGTGGCAGGCCCCATGTCAGTTGTTTATATATGTTAGCCCAACTGAATGATCACAACACCCCGGTGTGACATTTCATTCCTTTTCTCACAGTTGAAGAAGCAAGTTTAGTATCACCTTCTAGGCTTAAAGTTTTCTGTGTAGTATAACACTGCTTTTTATTATCGTAAGAGAAAACATTAGAGCACCAAGAGAAAACTTGAAAGCATCTTAGTTCTAGTATTCTGTTACTTGGTTAACATCAACAATATTCAACCTATTTACTGATCCTTTAGTGCTACAATATTGCATGTGATTACAATATTCCTTTATCAAAATGATGGAATTGTGACTAGTCTTTTGGTTAAATCCTTTATTTGCATATGCATTAAAAAGTCTCATTTCTATAAAAGGTCAAATTCATGGGATATTCTTTTCAAGATTTCTAATTGAAGGAAAATGGAAGGCTCTCTTTCTCATGATTCAACTAAACTACTGCAGTTTAGTTAAAAGTGCCTATTTTAACAAAAGTTTTCATTTTTATGTTATGTCATATTTTAACCTTTCCAGATCTGGAACAGCCTTCAATTTCTAAATTTTGTTTTATAAGTTACAGACAAAGATCATCATCAGAGGTGAAGTATAAACAGTCCTACACTGAAAACCATCCATCCACCCACTTACATAATAATGTTCCTCTCTCATGGAGCTTCCATTCTTGGGGGTGGGAGGAGATGGACATCCAAATAGGTATGTTAGATAATGATAAATCCTAAGAAATTTAATTATTTTTCTAGCAGTGACTAGCTTACTAAGTTTATTTTTCATGCTCACCAACTTTTGATTTGTTTCACATGTTGGCTGAGAGTTTAAATTATACATTTCAGTAGTGGTAAGAAATAAAAGGGCAGAGTCTCCAAGACCTAAATGTTAAATAAAAGGCAGGTAATTTATTCTTTTTTTGGGCGGGGGGGGGCTGCACCGTGTGGCTTGTGGGATCTCAGTTTCCCGACCAGGGAATGAACCCGGGCCACAGCAGTGAAAGCCCAGAATCCTAACCACTAAGCCACCAGGGAACTCCCTGGGTTATTTGTTCTTAAAGGTTGTTCGAAAGTAGCAGTTATTAAAGTCTTGGAGATGAGGAAATCTTTTCATTCATTCAGTGAATTTACTAAGACCAGAAAAAAACCACAAATGCATGAAATTCTGTAAACAGTCTCAGGTGGCCTAATACCCATGGACACCAGAGTAGGAAACTTCATTTCAAAGAGAATTCACAATCAGGAGCATGCGTGTGGGGTGGAGGAAAGAAGCTGATCAGAAAATTCTACCCAACTTAGATTCTTTGATTCTTGTGTAACCATCTTATTACAAATATGGGGGGGTGGAGAATCATAACAAAACTGAGATCCAAAGATATTAAGGTTTCCTGGCTCCTAGTTCACTGTTCCTTCTACTATGACTTCCATTAGCGTACAGACCTCTTAAGCAACTTCCCCATTAAACAAATCATTTTCCATCATTATGATGACTACACTACATTACTTGTGACAATTTTTAACCCTAAATCCTCTTTTACCATTACCCAGTCTGTGTACTAAAAGAAATAAAAATCAAGTTTATTATCAGCCTAAACTCAGTCTTGGAGAGGGCAGAAAACAGCATGCCATTTAAAAACAAATTGATTTTTATTATAAATGTAGTACATGCAACGAAGTGAAAATTTCCAACAGTACTGAAAGCTGTAGGTGAAAAGTAAAAGTCCTACATCACAAACCAATGTCCCACAGTCCTACATCCCACAAGTAACCAATATGCTCTTTCCTTAAAAAACCTAAAATTATGAAAGCGAACATTTGCACACACATACCTCTGAAAAATACAATGGGCTCATAGGACTAGAATATTCTAACACTAAGGATGAATTAACTACCCATTAGGAGAATCAAGTGTTAATTATAAGTGGCAATACCACTTCAAATACAACAATTTATTAATTGTTATAGGATGGTCACTGTAACAAGTATATGACATATTCACTTATAATTCAAGCAAGCAAGGGTAAGGCCTCCTAAAGATGTAAACAATCTAAACCACACTTCCATGGATCACAGAAGCAGAGTTGTGGGTAAAGAATACAACAGATGAACTCTTGCAGGAGAAAACTGAGGGGTCAGTGGAAAAAGCATTGCCTCAGGCTGTGTAACTGTCACTCAGGTAACAAAGCCATTTTTTGGCAATGTATCAAAGATAATTTCTTTGCTAGCCCACAGAGAATGCTACCAAAGTCCAGGGATTTTAAATGTATAAAAATTAATCCAGACAGGGAAAAAACCCACATTGTTAAAGAAATGCTCTCTCTTATAAAGCTGCGATGTCTGGGGTTTTGTTCATCATGGACTATGTACCAACTCCTTTTTATAGAGATTAGTTTAATCACTTTGCTATACCAAATTAAGATGTGCAAATCCAAACTTTTATTCAAGACAGACAAACAAACATGATTTCATTTTTGAGGCTGTCTCTTGAGCATATTCTTGGTAAAGACTAAAGTACACATATTTAAGAGAAAGATCTTCCTCAAAGAAAAATAGCCTCAGAGAACGTTTTACCAAAAGTAGCATTGTTTATATAAAAAGCCTAACTTGGGCAGGGGAAAGAAAACTAATGATAAAAAACTTAACTTACCAAGAAGTGAAACAGGCTGGGTTACAGGAGGGGTGGGCAGATTCGTGGGTGCAGCAGGTGGCACAGCAGAACCATACATTTTCACACTGTCACCAGACTCGGCGTTTCCTCTAGCCCCAGACACCACTGTTGGAATGGGATTTCCAATAGATAAGTCTTTTGTAGTGTCTTCATTTATACCAGCGATAGTAGCTAAGGAATATAATTACATCAACATGTGAAGCTGAATAAATAATTATCTCCCGGTCAACATTCTTTTGCCATACTATAGGTCCTATTACTGGTCCATTCTCCCTCCTACTCTCAATTCCAAGAGGACAAGTGAACACAAAGGAAAAACATGCTTACAGTTTGGGATGTTTATTGGTGGAGTGTGAGGAGGAGGAATGGATACTGGTGGAGTTATAGGAGGTGGGGGTCCAGGAGGAAGAAAACCTAGAATAAGAAAAATAATGTCAACTGAAGTTGTGTCACTTTATTTCAGGCTCTAAAAAAAGAATGTCTTCTCAAATAACTTAGTGTACCTGGTGGTAAATGCATTGGGTTGAATCCTGGGCGCAGAAATGGTGGAGGAGGTGGAGGAGGAGGAACACCAGGACCAAAGCCTGGAGGGGGAATTCCCAAAGGAGGCGTGAAAGTCGGTGGCTGGAGAGCACCAACTACAGGAGGTCCCGGCTGATGTGGTGGGACCTAGAAAGAAAATGGAAAATGAAGGCACAAATTTAGCCACCCTCCCACCCACAGTGTGTAGAGACAAAGAAAATACTTTGTTGAGAAAATTTGAAAAAAGGAATCTCTAAATTGTGCTTATTATGTGAGTACACTTATTAGATAACAGGTGGTAATCTGCACCTACCCCTAAACAATAGAAACCACATATTTTTTCCCTTTTTCTATTTGGCCGCACCGCGCTGCATGCGGGATCTTAGTTCCCCGACCAGGGGTCAAACCTGTGCCCCCTGCAGTGGAAGCATGGAGTCGTAACCACTGGACCACCAAGGAATTCCGAGAAATCACATATTTACTCTCTACTTTATGACAGCAAACTCACACTGTAATTCACCAGCACCTGTATTGGTGTTCTGCTAGAATATTAATATGTTAAAAAATGTCTCATGGTTAGGTCAATAAGTTTGAGAAATACAACTTTTTTTTTTGCGGTACGCGGGCCTCACTGTTGTGGCCTCTCCCGTTGCGGAGCACAGGCTCCGGACGCGCAGGCTCAGCGGCCATGGCTCACGGGCCCAGCCGCTGCGCGGCACGTGGGATCTTCCCGGACCAGGGCACGAGCCCGTGTCCCCTGCACCGGCAGGCGGACTCTCAACCACTGCACCACCAGGGAAGTCCCGAGAAATACAACTTTTAGCCACCAGGGCGCAGTGCTTGAGAGTCCGCCTGCCGGTGCAGGGGACACGGGCTCGTGCCCTGGTCCGGGAAGATCCCACGTGCCGCGCAGCGGCTGGGCCCGTGAGCCATGGCCGCTGAGCCTGCGCGTCCGGAGCCTGTGCTCCGCAACGGGAGAGGCCCGCGTACCGCAAAAAAAAAAAAAAAGCTACCTGGTAATCTGCACAGTGACTAAGATCACAGGTCCTTAGGGTCAAAGTGCCTGGTCCCCCTTTCAGGTTATTTTGTGACCTTGAGCAAGCTACTTACATTACACTCCCTAGACCTACCTCAGTTTACTCATCTGTAAAATGGAAAAGTGCCAACCTCACATAATTATGGGGATTAAAGAGTGAATAAATATTAAGTGCTAGTGCCTGGCACTTAATAAATACCCAACATATGTTAGCTATTGTTACAAAAAAGTATAATCAATCTTAAGAGATTAGTCAAGTTTCTTTGACTTTCATTGAATCTTATTTAGAACCTGCACTGGAAGGCATATCCAAAAGGTCAGCTAAAGAGTGCCAATTTGAGGACTCCATTTATAAAATATCACAGCTAAGTATGTATCAAAGCATGTAATTTTCTCCTAACACTACGAAAAATGAAGAAGCTAGGCAACCCAGTTTTGTGATAGCTCAGATTTATCTGATTCAGTTTTAATGTGAGAAATTGGGGAAAGAAGGTATTGAAAGAAAAGAAAAATCTAATGGATCATACATAAAAGTATGGGTCAAGTATTTATAATTTTTACCAAAACATTACTTACTTAGCTCTTAACATGTAACAGGAAAATCACATCTCAAGTCAAAAAGGTTATGAGGTAAGACACTGAATAATCTCGACAGATGTAAGGCAATATGAAATTTATTCTGGTTTTTAAAAGCATTTATAAATAATAGGTCTGACATACCAACACACAAAAAATTAATATGCACTCATATCTTTGACTATGAATCTAGACATACATCTATAGTAAGACTTAGAAAGGTATCTTTCTAAAAGTTTAAACAATGCCCCAAATAGTCTTACCTGTGGAGGTGGTACTGTTATAGGTGCAGGAACAGGAATAGGAGGGACAGGCACAGGTAAAGGCTTAGGTATGGGTGATACTGGTTCTGTGTGTGAGGTTTCTGCCCCTCCATTTTGAGCAACTTCATTTTCATGCTTTTTGGGAATTCCTTTCCAATCTATGAGAGTTAAAGAAATTTAACAAAAGCTTACATTTCAGCTTATAACTTTAAACCCAGAAATGATTTTTTAAATGTTGATATTAAAATCAGAAAGCAGGACTTCCCTGGTGGCACAGTGGTTAGGAATCCACCTGCCAATGCAGGGGACGTGGGTTCGAGCCCTGGTCCGGGAAGATCCCACGTGCCACGGAGCAACTAAGCCTGTGCACCACGACTACTGAGCGTGTGCTCTAGAGCCTGTGAGCCACAACTACTGAAGCCTGAGTGCCTAGAGCCCGTGCTCTGCAACAAGAGAAGCCACCACAATGAGAAGCCCGTGCACCACAACGAAGAGTAGCCCCCACTTGCCACAACTAGAGAAAAGCCCGCACTCAGCAACGAAGACCCAATTTATTTTTGGCAGCCAAAAATAAATTAAAAAAAAAAACCAAACCCAAAACAGAGAGCATTCTGATTATTAAAGAAATGCCTATGCTGATCTCATAAACATTAATTGTTTAAATTAACAATAGCAAACATGCAAAAAGAATGCTTACTTACGTGCCAGGCACAGTTCTAAGCTATATATATATTTATTTAATTCTCATAACCATCTATAAGTACCATCTATAAGTAGGTCCTACTATTATGATTCCCATTTCTCAAGAGGTGAAATCAAAAGACAATTTGCCCAAAGTCACATACCTAGTAGTGGCAGAGGTGGGATTCAACCCAGGCATATTTGGCTCTAAAGTCTCTGTTCTAAACCACAACAGTGTATTGTTTGGATTAAAGACCCTGGGAGGGAGGAGCAGGATTCTTTTTACCCTGGACCAGAGTCTCCCAGAATGCCTGGCACACAGTAGACCCTCAATACCTGTCTGCCTGAACAGAAACCTAGTCCGATCCTTAAGCGAAGGCATTACGCACCAAGGAGGGAGGAGGTGGTGTATGGGGAAAGTCCAGCATTGTTTCACTGCCTTTTGGCTTTTCAAATCATCACTCCTGACTGAAGTTCTTTAATGCTTTAAGTATTTACTGTACTTTGCCATGCCACCCTGTGCTCCTTTCATCCTGCTATCTATCAATCTTCAGGTTATGCCCCCACAAGCTGCCATTTTTCCCAATGCAATTCCACTATCAACCTGGCATTTTTAATATTCAGCCTACAAATAACTGCACCTCCTTGTCTTACACGTTTACTTTTGATGGCTTCTCTGGACATTTAAACATTTTCTAAGAAATTACTATGAAACAGTGGATTTTACTAACAATGTTCAGTTTGAGACTCATTTGATCTGTTAGGTTTTTACAGTGAAAAATTCTACCTAAGATCCACTTAATACTATAATTAATAATTAAGCCCATAATCAGTATTTATTTGTGTCTGCAACTCTCCCACTAAATGTAAGTTCTCCCACTAAATGTAAGTTGCATAAGGGCAAGGACCACATTTGTCTTATTCACTGTTGTTTCCTCAGTTTATTATAATGGAGAGACTGGCACCCACATAGTGGGTATTTGAAAAATCTCGAAATTCAGATCCTAAGGCAAAGAATAAACATTTGTCATAGCACTACCAAGGAAACAGATGAATTTTTTAAAAAAAATTAAATACTGCTTTACCTGGATTAAGTGTATCACTGTCCAACATTCCTCCTTCACAAAAACTCTCCAGTTCTTCAGGCTTGACTTTGTCCCACGGAATATAAGTAACACCAAGTTCTACATCCCAATACTGCTTATAATCTGCCTTTATTCCTTTGTTTAAGGCCCAGGCAATCTATTTCACCATTTGTTAAAATATAAAAAGAAAGGAAAGGAGAAGAATGTCATAAATTGAGAGTTAACTGTTCCTCATGATTCTAATTACTCAGACTTTGTCAGCAAGGGAGCAATCTGGCCTGGCTTTCTCTGGATCTCACTCAAAACTTTATTCGGTGCTAAGAAACTGGTTACTCTACCATCTCACTTTGTTTCTCCTAGGATGGAAATCTGACTGGCAATCACTTCCTTACTCACTCTTCCAACCACCCACCACCCCGCAAACCCAGGCAGCATAAAACTTAAGAGAAAAGGAAAAAGTTTATCAGGGACAGGCTGAAGTTCCCTATACAACTCAGCATAAAAAAGTGGGGAGCACTTTTAAAAGTCTTGGGTAACTCGGAATTACTCAACATCAGACAAAATCCTTTTGCGGTGCGATCCAAGGGTAGAACATGGTATTATAACATTAAGGAAACACTGACTCTGGCCCCTCAGAGTAATACCCATGTACCTATATCTTTTCCTCTATCTTCAGTGAGTATTTTTCATAGTTCTAAGATGAGATGGCAAACTTTAAAATTAAAATGTGAAGAATACAAAATTTTCTGAATGACAAAATATTTTACAAAATGACATTATATTTAAAGCGCCAAGTAAATACCTTGATGAACCTACCTACCTTTAAAAAAAAAAGACAAAATTCTACCATGCACCTAACATTTAAAATTTTATTTTAACTCTTAGGAGATAACCTCTTTAAAAAAAGATGCACAGATAATGCCCCGTGTCCAAAATTACAGTTTTTTTAAAAAAGTCACATAATATTATATATTAAGTTTTAAAAGAAATGAATTATAAACTATAAAACAGTACCTTTATGGATTTCTGGTTCACTTTATAGTTTCCTCGGCTCAGTTTCTGCAGGGCACGGTTAGCATCTTGCCTATGAACCATAACAATATAGGCACAACCTCTGGGAGGAATCATCTGCTCCAAAAGATTTTAATATTATAAAATATAGTAACAAAAAAATAAAAAAGCAACAAGATATAATACTACGTAATCAGTTCCAACAAGCCCAATTCAAACCCCCTGCACCCTCCAGAGCCAGAGTTCTATAACTGGAGATTAAATTAATTTGTTAAATTGGTGGTTCCAGTTTGGTCTCAACTTCCAATTATCGACAAATCTACAGTTCCCCAAGCTTTGTTATATAGACTTTTTTAGAAAAACTTTTTAGAAAAAGGTTTTAGGTTAAACTTGGTGACCCAAGAAATGTAGTTAAATGCTAAACATGAACTCAAAACACCTGAACGCTAGCCACATCTTCTACAAACATGGGAAAATTTTAACTTAGGTTTCAAGTCCTTAGTTTCATAGAGTAACATTAGTCACATCTATCTACTGTCATTAAGTGATTTAATAAATACTCACATTAATTGATTCAATTGGACCAAACTCTTCTAAAAGACTGGCAACATCCTGCTGAGTAGTCCTTTTGTCCAGCTGTCCCACCCAGAGTGTAGTACTACAAACTTAAAATAAAATTATAATCATAAAAATATACACATTCGATAATGAACAGCACTGTACTTTACATGAAAACAATCATTAAAGAAGATATGCATGAGTTACATTAAGATACCAGAAGTTTAAGTAGAAAACCCCATATACATTTAAAAAATTCTAGAAAGTTGTGGTAGTACTTCCAGAAATGGAACCAGGATAGTGAAAGGTACACCTATAAGTTGGTAAAAAAAATTGGTCTTTTTGAAGACACATCTGAAGATTTCATCTACGTAAACTAGGGCCAGAGAAGCAGTATTTTGCCCAAGATCGCCCTTGGCAAGTGAACACAAGAGCTAAGACTTGATCCCAACTATCTTGATCACCAACCAATTCAGTGCTTTTGTTCACTGCATGTAGCTGTTCCTTTCCAACTGTCGAGAGTATATGAGTTTTGTTTCATGTTGTGTCCTCGGTAATAAGCCTTGCAGAGTCAGAAGTTTTATATATGCCCTAGTTATACTATAAATTAAAATTTCATTAATAGCTAGAGTTGTATCAAGAATATGTCTAGCACACCTTATTAAACATATTCTAAACACATCATGAAATTTAGGAGATAATGTAAGCTAGTACATTCTGTAAATCATAAATCTTTATAAAAGAGGGCACTAGTTATTCTAGGGGGAAAAAACCCCACCTTTCCACCATGTGTAGGAGAACTAGTTAATGACTCTATTTCATACATTCGATTCAAGACACACTTCCTCATCATTAGTTTGGTTCGCTCCTCATTGCTGCTTTACAGCTGGCTTAATGTACAAAGGCAAATCCAAGGTATATGCCAAAGCACAAATGAGTAAGACCTCATAAAGTGGTATTCTGCTAACAGTTATAAAACATTTTAAACTCATGACATGAAAAAAATGCAGGAAATTTGAATATAAACGTTCACGTACCACTAGCAGTTTCTGGTTTGATTTGAGGAAGGCCTTTTTGTCGGCGCTCTCTTTCTTTTTCCCGATCCCTTCTTTCTTGGGATCGAGATCTAGGAGAATGTCGGCGTCTATCTCTGGACCGAGATCGAGAACGTCGATGACGAGACCTTCGAGTTCTAGAACCAGATCGAGATCGTCTCCTTTTTGGTGACCTAATATTTTCAGAACGAGGGAGAATGGATTAACACATGGAGGTAAAAAAGAAAATGTAAGCACGTGTTAATCTGAAAAAGAAAAAATACAACTAGGTAATTTAATGTTTGGGTATGTAAGAATTTGACAGCAGGGAATTCATTTTAAAGATTTTTAATATGCTCAAAGTTAGAAAGCACAAATATATTATAAATGAGATAAATAAAGATGCTAACTTATAAAAGTACCTCCCATCTTTGATACCTCTGGTACTATACTAAATGACATCTTTATAGTGAAGAAGCTAATGTCATCATTGAGATATACTGACTACTATTCTCTATCTTCTCAGTAAAGTCTTTTCTGTGGGAATTAAAACATGTAATCCGATTACAGTATTACTTATTCTCTTTCCACTTTTTTGGGTTGATAAATTGGTAAAAGAACTCTGAATACATAAATCTTATGATTCCATGTATATCTGTAAATAGGCATTAAAGCAACTCAAAGGGAAAATATGTGGGTTAAGATGACTTAATTTTTTAAAATTAATACTTCTCCTACCCCCAATCCACACATGCATACAAACATACCAAGTGTTATTTTATTAGTCCTGGGCATCTGAAAACAATCCAACTAGATTTTAAATTCTATCACTCCTAAAACATACAGATTTGGATTAACATTTTCTATAAACTACCTGGATGCTGATCTAGATCTTGACTTTCTGTTATCGGACATGTGCCGCTTAACCTCTTGAATACAAGGTTGTTCTACTTCCATTTCCTTTAAAAAGAAAAACAAAACACAAAACCCATCATTAAAAGAGAAAGTGGCAATTATAAATAGAAAAAAACGGGACAAAAATCTAAAAAATGCTAAATTACAAATCTCTTGCCCTGAAAGTTCTCTTTTGGTTACTTGAGACCAAATTACTAGTTTAATAATGACTGGCCATGAGTGGGAAAAGTTTTTTTTATATGGTTTACAAGATTAGAAGAAATACTGATCTACTTCTGGAAATTATTTCGTAAAAGTTACATACTGTGTTTACCAACCATCACCTAAAGCAGTGAATTAGGCACTGTTTAAACATTCTATACTCTATCTCAATCCTCACAAACCGTATGGAAATTTGTAGTATTATTATGTCCACTTTCCAAATGAAAAACTTCGCTCACAGAGAGGGCAAATCTGTGCCCGAAGTAATAGTCTTTCTTCATATTCAAAATGGAAGATAACAAGCCAACAGGCAGCAATCTATTTATAAATCAAGGGAACCATACAGATAATCAACAATCTGAGAATGAAGTTTTACCTGATGTGCCTTTTGTGTAAGTGGTTCACTTTGTGCCTGAAAGGAAGTTTGGAAAGGCTGCTGCACGGGTGGAGTTGGAGGAATCACAGACTGAGCCATGGGAGGAAATGGAGGTGTAGGAAGAAGGCCAAATCCTGGCATCTGTCCATTAGGAGGAAGTGGAACCTTTTGTTTTTTAAAAAAATTGTACAAGCAGACTTTAAGTAATTAAAAAAAAAAACCTTGATCACGGAACCATGACTGACAATTCCTATTGGTACAATCTCTATTCAAAGAATTGTTATATATCCAAGAATACAGGGTAAAAATCCTACAACTCGTTTTAAAATTATGAATACATGATCTGGTTTTATAATTTAAAAACATAACTTCATTTATATGAGGAAGCAATGTGACAGACTGAACTTAAACTCAAAGGTACTCCCTATCGCAAACTGTCTCTCTTCAACTTTAAAGGCAATTAAGCTTTGGGGGGAGGAAAAGTGGCTAGAAGAATTGACTTCTAGGTATATTTTAAACATTTTACGCCAAGGGGAGTTTCAACCAACATGCCTAGGGTTGAATACATAATACTTAGGGTTTGATATTTAGGGTTTCAAATATCTTAATAATGAGAGTAATTATGCCACAATGTAACAATTTTCTACATGTGACATTCCAACGCTAATAGAATTAAAAGTATAATTGTAATGCCATTATAGTATCACAAAATATTCTTTCTAAATTATTAATAAACTTTCAGCAATTGTTAAACATCTGGAAATAAGTTCATAGGCTTTCTTTGTATTTTAAACAGGCTTATAAAATATTTTTCAAATTTCATTCCTCAGCAAGTCATTAAAATCACAATATCAATTTCATATGACCAAATACAGGCACATCTCAGATTCGATTCCAGGCCACTGTAATAAAGCGAATATCGCAATAAAGCAAGTCACATGAATTTTTTGGTTTTCCAGAGCATGTAAAAGTTATGTTTACACTATACTGTAGTTTATTAAGTGTGCAATAGCATTATGTCTAAAAAAATCAACATATATACTTTAATTAAAAAATACTTTACTGGGCTTCCCTGGTGGCACAGTGGTTGAGAGTCCGCCTGCCAATGCAGGGGAGACGGGTTCGTGCCCCGGTGCGGGAGGATCCCACATGCCGCGGAGCAGCTGGGCCCGTGAGCCATGGCCGCTGAGCCTGCATGTCCGGAGCCTGTGCTCCGCAACGGGAGAGGCCACAACGGTGAGAGGCCCGCGTACCGCAAAAAAAAAAAAAAAAAGAAAAAAAAAAAAAGAAAAAAAGGCTTCTCACAAGGGGAATAGCTGTATAACTAAACAGGCCAGTTCCCTGAAATAGAACCACAATCTCTCTCTAAATTATTTAAACAAAAATGCCTATTAAATTATCAGCATGTAATGTTTAGCATCCTTGTTTTAATTAAAGCAAAAGCAACTCAAATCAGTTATGTACTCAACAGCTTTTACTGTAGCTATAGTATTTAGCCATGCACACAGCTAAGTAACAGTGGTCTGGGAAGTGCAACCCATATGCTCTAATGAATAGATCTTCAGTTATTAAAACTCAGCTATAAGAAAAATGCCTCTACCTGATGGTGCACTGGATCCTGCTGTATTGCCATCATTCGAGGTTGAAACTGATCCATGTTTTGGTGCTGGGTATATGCTGGTTGCTGCATGCCATCTCCAGGAAATCCACTAAAAAAGATGAGTAGTCTTTTCACCCATTCGAAAACACATGAATCTTAGCCACATTTATACTACAGAAACTTAAAGAATGCTGTTCAGGAGTTATTAATAATCAACACTTTACTGAATCATATATTTGCCTGTATTAACTTAAACACAGCATTTTCCCCAAAAGTCATTTTTAATTGTAAATCTGACAGGATCTCCTCTCCATTCAGAAGAAAACTCCAAATACCACAATTTAAAAAAAGAATTTTAAAAGACTATATGAAAAATGATTTCGTTATTAACTGTTACTTGCATTATGCCTTATTATGACTACCAAATCTCTATCTGCTGAGGAATCAAAAGAAAGCAACTCACAAGGGTGCCTGTGGAGGAGAAGCAGCAGTCGCAGCAACAGAAGGTACAGCAGCAGCAGATGCAGGGGGCGCAACAGCAGCAGCAGGTGCTGTGGTGGCGGCGGCGGCGGCAGCGGCGGTCGCAGCAGCGGCGGCGGCGGCGGCAGCAGCGGCCGCAGCATCTTCCTTCTTCGATTCTTCCACAGCTTCCGGCTCATCATCGTAATCAAATCTATCAAGTAGCTTCTGGAATAGGTGTGTATGTCAATTTTCCATTTTAAAATTCAGACTGTGATTCACTGAACAAAAAACTTTATAAAAACAGATATTTACCACCATCTATAATCCCGCAATGCTGTCATGTACAATTTCACCTTCCCACATGCCTCTTAGGACCCTAGTTCACAGACAATCTTTACACAAATGCCATTTTGAAAAGACACTTTAAAAAATTCTGTTTTTCTTCCCCAATTCTAAGTACAGTGTTTTCTTTTTGACTATTTTCTATATGATTTTATAACTAATTTAGTGATAGAAAGATTTTACCCATTCATTTTCCTAGACTAAAAACTTTTGGAACTTTGCACATATGAAAATGGGTACACATTTTCAGTCGGCTTTGTAAAATGTACAGAAAGAAAGACCATCTTATCCAATCATTATAAATGCCTACAGAAAAATGTCCATATGCTGCTTGATCGAGAATATGAAAAATAAAAAAGAGAATGGCACAGACAGGGCCGCAAAGTCTACCTGTGCACTTGCTTCTTTCTTAAAACTTCACAACCCACCTTAGATTACCAGAAACCTTCATTAAAAAAAAAACAAAAAATCAAAAAAACCAATCAGTGCACTTCACAGGATCACGTGTCTAGAAGAAGAGCCGTTTAAAAATATGGTTACATTTACTCAGAAAAGAAGGAATGAAAGTAATGCAACCACTATTGTGTTTTGATAGATTATACACAATATTTCATCATCAAAAGAAACATGCAACGTACATATAGCTTCTTCTTCTTACAGACAAGGAGACTAAGGCTCGGGTAATTAAGAAACATGACCAAGACTGTACAGTTAATACAGGTACAATTAGGATGTGGACAATGGTCTTTTCTACCTCAAAGCCCTCAGTCTCTGGCATCCAACAAGGCTGTCATTTCTCTCAGGCTGTGCCCTTCCTGCTCATGGATTTCCAACCTCAAATTCCTAAATTTGTATTGTTCTGTGATAGTTCTGCCTGGAAATTCTGGTTCTACTTTATTGGACAACAGATTTTTAAATTAGGAAAGGAAGTCCCCTTCTTGGACAACACTTCTGTTTCTTTCTTCATAATTCTAGGCCACGTGACTAAAAGTTCTTGTAACAGAGCGATGTAACATGGCCCAGGCACCTTGCTGCTTTACGCACGTTAGCTTACTTAACCCTCATGGCAATAAAAAAATATAGGTACTACCATAGCTCTTTTACAGTGGTACACAGTGAATACTAACTCAACATCAAGATAGAGTCAATGACAGGAGCCAAAATTAAAACCTGGGTCTAAACTGTCTACAAAAAAACCACAAAGCCTATGATCTTTGCAGTTTATCGCATATACACATGTTCCTTAAAGTTTTACGATTTATACCTATTACTTGGGAGAAGATTTGAAGCAATTAAAAAATTAAACTGAGATCTCTACTATCTAAAGACATTTCTGTTGCTTTTTAGGAAACTGAAGATCTATGAAGCAGCCAAAATAGAAAAACTGTTCCCAGTCAGCTGTCTGACTAGCTTAAAATAGACCTTTACAGTCAAAGGAAAAGCACAGAATTCCTTTTTCTAAACTTAATATAACTAACAAACATTGGCCAACCCACTTAAGATAAAACACTAGAGGAATTAGTTGTAATTCAAATTAACAACAAAACAAGCATGTCAGTAGCACTGCTATTACTCAACATTTCTTTTTTGGAAGTCCTAGCCACCAGAACAGTAAGAAAAGAAAAAGAAACAGGCCTAGATGTTGAATGGGAAAAGTCAAATTTAGTAGCCTAGAAAATCTAAGAGAACAACTAGAAAACTAAGCTTCTAATACCATGATAATTTACAACATAAAATAAAAATCAGTAGTTTTCCTGTATGGCATTATTAACTAAACGAAAGTGTTATGAAACACTAAACATGAAAAATGAGTAAACATCTAAGAATAAATGACACAAGAAATGTATGACATATTAAAAATCTAATAAATTGAGATTCTGTGTAAGAAATTATCAGTACTTGTTAAATTAACCTATAAATTCATAAAAATTTATGCTAAAGTTCATCTGGTAAAGTATGCTGTGATGATCAATTATATGTGTTAACTTGGCCAGGTTATGGTGCCCAGTTGTTTGGTCAAAGATTAATATAGGGCTTCCCTGGTGGCGCAGTGGTTGAGAGTCCGCCTGCTGGTGCCCCGGACCGGGAAGATCCCACGTGCCGCGGAGCGGCTGGGCCTGTGAGCCATGGCCACTGAGCCTGCGTGTCCGGAGCCTGTGCTCTGCAACGGGAGAATTAATATAGATGTTGCTGTGAAGGTATTTTAAAAATGTGATTAACAGGGAATTATTCCCTGGTGGTCCAATGGTTGGGACCTGCCCTTTCACTGCCATGGGCCCAGGTTCAATCCGTGGTCGGGGATCCCCACAAACCACATGTGCATGGCCAAAAACAAACAAACAAAACAAAACAAAACAAAGAAAACATTGGGAATTCCCTGGCGGTCCAGTGGTTAGGACTCTGTGTTCTCAGGGCCTGGGTTCAATCCCTAGTTGGGTACTAAGGTCCCATAAGCTGCATGGTGCAGCAAGGGAAAAAAAAGTGATTAACATTTAAATTAGTAGACTATGAATAAAGAAATACACTCTATAATGTGGCTGTGCCTCAACCAATCAAAGGCCTTAAGAGCAAGGACTTAGGTTTAGGTTTCCCAAAAAAGGCATTCTCAAGACAGCAACATGAAAACCTTGCCTTGCAGAATTCAGACTCAAGACTGCAGCATTAACTCTTACCTGAATTTCCAGCCTGCCACTCTGACCTACAAATTTCAAATTTGCCAGCCTCAACAACTGTGTGGGCCAATTCCTTAAAGAAAATCCCTCCCTTTCTCCCCTTTGTGTGTCTCTGTGTATAACTGGTTCTGCTTCTCTGGAGAACCCTAACACATATGCCCAAGAATAGCCAAAGAATGCCTGAAAAAGAGTAAGGGCAGAGAACACATCTAGAAATGAAATACAAGTTGCAAGTGTTTAAACTGTTATGTTGCAGAAATAAACAAAGATATTAGTGGGACAGAACAGTGTCCAAAGACAGACACAGAAACAAATGGGAATTAAATGTATGACAAAAATTGTGAGAATTGGCTATTTCCAAAACAAAGATTTAACTATCTTGAACCATATTCTAAAATAGGTTCTCGATAGATTAAGACAAACATGAAAAACAAAAATATAAAACTACTAGAAGAAAGAGAATTTTTAATACAAGTTCAGAGAGTTTTCCTAATCACAACACAACACAGAAGACTAAAAAACAAAACCACAATACATAACAATTTATGTTCACATATGGATGGGAACATACACAACTCTGTTCAAAGCAGAGTGGAACTGATTTCCCTTTCTACTTTAGAACTTTCTGTATTATTTGCAATTTTTTCCCTAAAAGCATGTACTTCTTTTGTACTAGAATAACAAGCAGTAATTATCATATGGATTCTTAATTTGGACTACCAGCAATAAAGTTTTGTATCTTAGAATGTTAGAAAGAATCAAAAATTTTAGAGATGATTGAAAGATACTTCGTTCTAGGATTTTCAAACTTTTGTGGTTTTTGCACTGCAACTTGTAAAATGAGATGAAACTGTATATAGTCATAAATCCAGTAAATAGACATGACATAAACAGACAAGAGTGGAGTTGTCTGGGCTAACATTTCAACAGGAAGCTCTAAGCTAGGCATATCCAGCACATCTATATCCTTAGTGGCAGCTCCTTAAACATAATGAAGGCCCAACAGAGAAGTTGGAAGACACTCAACCAACCCAAACCCTCATATTATAGATATGGTAACTAATGTTTTTAACAGCAGAAAACAGAAAGCAACTTAAATGTCTATCAATAGGGGAATGGCTAAATTGTGATGTCTCTATGTAATGGAATACTCCTAATAAGCACTCAGTAAATGTGTAGATTTACATCTATTAACCTTAACAACAACAAAGAGACAAGAGGATTAATGTCAAAACAAGCAAGTTAAAAACAGTGTGTATGTATATATATGTGTATATATATACTAAAAACACACATTTTTATATATGCACACACATATATAATGACCAAAAAAGAAAAGCATATATCCAGGAAATTAATTCTGAAAAGATACACAGAAAATGTTACAGTAGTTACCTTCACGTATGGGGGTTAATGGTGAATGTTCCCCTGTTTACTTTCCTTTACACTGTTTACTTTTCCTTTATATTGAAAATTGTGCAATGAGTATATATTAGATTTTTAACCAGGAATAATAATCAATGTTTTGATGTCGAGGGGGAAAATCCCTCAAATTACAAAACAACAAAATGAACAAGCCAGAGAAGCTAGAGAAGGGGTAACTTCCACATTCCAAGTTGAGTGATGTAAACAATGGGGTGGGTTATGTGAGAGAAGCATACCTTGTCAAATGCAGTTTTTTGTTCAGGTTGGGGGAAAGCAGCTTTTTGTTCAGGTGGTTGTGTAGGAGCTGTCTTTAACTGAGCTGTGATAGCCTGAACCTGAGCCATCACAGCATTGTCAATGGCGGGAGACTGTGGTTTTGGAGGCTGTTGAAAAGTCTGAAGGATCTGCTGAAGCTTAAAGAATGGGAAGACTGATAAACCACATAATAAAGTATAATCACAGTATCAAAAGTTAATTTACTAAAAAAAAACCTTAATGGTGACTCAAAATAGCATAGGCACAGAGTAAACTGGAAAAAGGAACCAACCTTTTAATAATGGTTACGTTTATTGTGAATGAATGTATCAGGGATATAAGATGTGTCACTTAAGGTTAAAAATGTATGCTGATACCCCAACAGTAGAAAATGATGGTCAGAGAAAAGAGAAAATACACTGAATTGTGAACAAGGTAAATATGTTTTCTAAAAAAGTGTAAAAAAAATCATCTCCACCAATCCAAATAATTTTGAAATCTGGAAATGCTAGAATTGTGAGCAACAATACCACCACTCAGCGGTTCTGCAGTTCTCTCCAAAGGGGTACTGCTATTTCTCAGTGTGCTGTTCCCTTGTTTCCCACATTTCCCCTATTATCCCTATGTAGTATCCCTTCCCTTCCTAGTAAAGGCCTTTCTATTTGAAAAGTAGAAATATTTCCTCCCCACAATGTGCTCATTAACTAGGAATGAAAAATAAGAACTGACAACAGTACCTAACTGCAAACAATTTAATCTTTGGATAGGCAGTTTACCTGTTGACCTTGAGTTGTCTGAAACAGTTGGGCCACAGCAGCAAAAGCATCAGAGCTGGGCAACTGTGGTACAGTTGGTATGGAGTTTGTAGTGGCTTGTGAGGGTTCAGAAGAAACTTTAACTGGAGGTGGAGGTGAACCTAAAAAAGAAAAGATCATTAAGCACTCGGTAAACTTTAACTCATAAATATTCCTTTTAATCTCCATTAAGCTTCTTTACTAAAATAATACTGCATTCACTTTAACATAGAGTAAAAAATACAGATTATGGTAATACAGCCTATATGGTAACAAGCACTGAATACTTTTATTAGAAATAAGAATTATGGGAAGAAAACTATACCTTCTAAGATGTAAACTCAAGTTTCCTTCTTATAGAAAACTTCCATCACTATAAACAGACTCCGAACACTTCATGCACAAAAAATTATACCATCTTCTAAGCTCACAGATACATCTGCCATACCTTCATTATTAGTAACATTTTCTGTTACTGGGGCGGCATTACTGGTTCCTGCTGCCATGTCCAAAAGCGGTTGAATGATTTCAATTTTGAATACTCCATTTTTTTGCCAAAGGTTCAGCACACGAACTATTTTACTCTGTTATGTGTGAGAAAACATAAATATACAATAAATATTTGCATAAATAATTTATTATACCTCTTATAAAAAGAGGAGGAAAAAAAAACCACCCCAGGCTAATATTTCCATGCTATATCTGTTTTCATAAACAGAAAAAAATCTATCATCAGAATTACAACCTGGTTAAACTACACTAACTGACCTTTCTTCAGTAGTGCAATCTAGAGTAAGAAACAGAAGGGCGGAAAGAAAGAGAAAAGAAATATAACCTAGAGGATCAAAAGAAATGCATTATAATACTTAAAAATGTATCTGAAGTTTCCATTATATTTTACTTATGAGTACAAAGAAACAACCATTTATCTTACAGAAGTGAAGAATTTCCCGGGATGACTATAACAGTTAAAATATTTAAGACAATTATTGGCCTGTAATTGTTAGGTAAATTGTTTTGTGGACTAGTAAATATGAAGGAGATCCAGAGAAAACGTGTTATTCATGGTTGTAACTCTTATTTCCTACTCATGGAATGATCTTCTTTTCTCTTGTATATTTTCCCCACAAGAGCATTCCTTCAAGAATATACAGAATCCATAACACTCAAATTTATATGCCGTTTATTGTAGTCTCCAGTCTTCATTTTTCTGAGTCTACCAGTGCATTTCTCCCACCTACTGGAGTCTAGTTTTCTGTCTATAATGTTCTTCTATCTTTTTATAGTACATAGTAAAACCAGCTATAAATGTGAGGAATTAAATACTGTAGTCTGATTGCTAATGAATACCATTTACATTCTAGCAGCTCCATATGCTGGGGAAAGCCATCAATTATTGGTCCCTTCCTTTTGGAATAAGCAACAATCTGAGATAAGCACTGCTCTCCTCTACTTGCAGAATTTCTTTACCATTCAACCACAAGAAATCTTTCCAACAATGTCTTCTTAAAGCAAGACTGTGCTCCTTTTATATTTCAACAGTACAACATTCCTGAAGGACTTCCCAAGAAAACAGATATGACTACTATAGAAAAAACTGGGTTTTGTTTCAAGTTCATGATTATCTTTCTAGTAATACAGTAGGCTTTAAATATCTAATATACATTTAAATAGATTTAAGTAGATACAAAAACAAAACCAAAACAAGAATACAAGCTTAATTTAAAAATTATAAACTCTACCTTATCTTCAGATGGACAAAGATACAAATATTGGAATGTGGCAGTTATGTTTTTAGAGAATCTTGGCCCAAAAACATCTTTATCAGTTCCAAACTGATGACGAGACTGTCTCACAATTGAGTCGATTACATATAATCCCGGAACCTTGTATTCTGGTTTACACTACAAAGATTAAAGATGTAAATTCAATACAGGAAAAGCAAATCACAATTTGACACCCATTAATCTCACTTTCATGAAACTATATATCCAAGAATTACTTCTATTTAGAAACTACTTGAATGTTTAGTTCTCACTGGCTAGCTTGTCAAATTTCCCACAGGTCTGTACAGAATTGCCATTCTCTTGATACTTCAGACCCCCAATATTTCACTTTTCTCTGATCCCTCTGTCTCCCCACACACAACTTCCCAGAATCAACATGACTTTACCAATCCCTAAGCCACCTCCATACAAATCCACTTATTATGGATAAATCTCTGCTGTAATTCATCCTGCTCAAAAAAATAATTTTTACCTTTTAAAATTATCAAGGAGATCATTTTAACAACATATCAATTTCAATTCTATTAAAGTACAGTACCAGAGAAACAAAAACTGAAAGGAGAGGTCATTTTTGGCCTTTCAAATTGACAAGGTAAAATGAATAGACAGACACCTGCACACATTTCTGGTGGTACAACCTTTACAAAAGATTTAGCAATAAAAGTAAAGCCTTATTTGATCCATCAAGTCTATTTCTAGAAATTTATCCTAAGGAAAACAATTAAGATGCCTCTGAATTTTTTCCACAAGGCTAGCCACTGAAGTGAAATGGCCAGTAATAGGGAACTGGCTTAGTAAATCGTGAAAAACAATCGTATGTTAGAATACTTTGCAGATGTTTATAATAAATTCCGTGGGAAAAGCAGGTTATCCATCAGCCTATGTCTTCATTTTCCTTTTATAAATGTACATACTAAAACATGAGTAAATATTCATCATAACTGGGGTGGTGGCATATAGGTAATTTTAATTATTTTTCCGTTTTATTTACTGGTACTTTGATTTGCTACTATAAAAACCTCTATTGACTATACTTTTTAGTCTGTTGGAGCTCTAACTCCTATCTCACAGCCAGTATTAAATGGCCATGGACCAGAGACACTCCCACACACATTTATTAGAGTGTACTACATGGCATAGCTCCAGGTTGGGGGAGAAGACAAGGATATCTAAGTAAGCCTCCGTTCTCAGTCCTTTACTGAGAAAGACGTGTGCTAATCACACCATATAATCGTAGAAGTGAAAAACTGTTTAATTATGACGGGAGCAGGGGAAAGTTGGAAAAACTTTAAGAAGTGATTTCATTTGAAGTACTCCAAGATGAGTTAAATGTCAACAGAGCAGACAGGGCAAAGGGGAGAGAAAGCACATCAGGCTCAAGGAAGAGTCCTGTTCAGTAGAGAAGAAACTGTTGTTGAATCCTACCTCATAGTAAGTGCTCAAACAGTACTGCTATAAATTTTTGTTTTGTTAGAAAAAAAAAAAAACTCTAGTGATTAAAAAGAACTTCTAGTGACAACTTTTCTGTAGAGTGGCTTTAGAAGCAATTATCCAAATTACTATTTACAAAGTAAATTACAAATACTGATCACAACTAAAATGAGGTAATAAATAAATGGATAGTTACCTTTTTGATGAACTTTTCCACTATTTGAACTACATGCTTATAAAGCTGAAAAGAATGAAAAGAAAATCATTATCCAGTTTACATACTTCTACATTCCTTGTAATTAGAAAATACTTAAAAATCTTGAAATTTGCACAATTTGAATTAATTCCCAAGATGATACTGAAAAAACATGGGAAATAATCCATAGTCAACCCATAGTCAACAACTGAAAAAATCTTAACACATCATAATGAAACTACAAACTAAAACAGAAAACTACAAAAATTCCCCCAAACACAAGGTCCTTTTCTTAGATTTTTAATCAGTGAATCTTCATAAAGTAGTTTATTAAGGAACTTTATGAGAGGGCTAAGAACAATGGAACTGGAACTAAATAATGCAGTTTTTAAAGAGACTCACTTATTCAAGGTGTGACTGGGTAAGACATTTAATTTCATGAAGTCCAAGGTTTTTAAATAAAAATGAAGCTAATACTCCACTGATTTATGATAAGAATTAAATGAAAACAAAACAAAACAAAACAAACAAAAAACCCTCTGCCATTCTACTCTCTACTTCAATGAGTTCAACTTTTTTTAGCACCACACACAAAAAGGCAATTATGTGAGGTGATGGACGTGTCAATTGGCTTAACTGAGGTAATCATTTCACAATGTACATGTGTATCAAATCGTGTTCTATTACATTATATTACTGAATTTGTCAATTATACCTCAGTAAAGCTAAAAAATATAAAGGGAAAATATTAACAACAAAACAGGTTTTGAAATAATATGTTACAACGTAGATGCACCATACTGTATTATTATGTACTTTCAGCAAAACCTGGTAAGTGTTCTTCGATTCAGGCCTGAACTAATTCACAAGATGAATTCTCACATTTAACAATAACATTTTCAAAATTTCAAAAACATTTTCCAAATTAAATACATTTCTTTTACGCTTACCTTAATAGCTTTAATAGCAGCTTTCGTGATGAGAATCATCTTGGCTCGAGAGATGGGAGGCTTCATATCCATAAGTGAAAAGAGCTTAAAAAACAGAAAAAGAGGAAAAAAATGTTTTAATTACAAGTAAAATTGGAGGTTAATCCTTCAGTTCTACAAATATATTTGTAATATATTAACTAAAAGAATAATAAATTTTGGGGGCTTCCCTGGTGGTGCAGTGGTTGAGAGTCCACCTGCCGATGCAGGGGACACGGGTTCGTGCCCCGGTCCGGGAAGATCCCACATGCCACGGAGCGGCTGGGCCCCTGAGCCATGGCCGCTGAGCCTGCGCATCCGGAGCCTGTGCTCCGCAACGGGAGAGGCCACAACAGTGAGAGGCCCGTGTACCGCAAAAAAAAAAAAAAAAAAAAAAAAGACTAATAAATTTTTGGAACTAAGTTTAATAATTCGTCTAGTAAAGAAAAACAAGAGCTTTCCTACATACTGGCATCACCACTTCGAAAATACAATGGGAAAAAATCATATTAAAAGTAGCAAAAGAGGGGGAAAAAGGTAAAATATTTACAAAATCTGTAACAGAAAAAATTACAGAACTTTGCTGGAGAACTCAAAAATGATTTGAATGGAAACAAACACACCATGTTCCTGTACTGAAAATGGCAATACTGTGACTCAATATTTAATATTTCATTCCAAACCTCATTGAGATTTTGGAGAACTTCAAATAATTCTAATGTTCATTTGGAGAAACACATGTATTACATCAGGCAAGAAATTTAACATGCCATTATAAAGCCTGAATTCACAATTTCTTGATTTAGTCAGGAATAAAAATGACACCATATTTAACAAATCTCACTACAGTAAATCCAGCAATCAGGTGCTCACAGGAGACTTAACCACACATGCATACTCCTTCCCCCTGAAGTTTAAATCCAACCAAGATATAATGATAGCCCATAGAGGGTTACAAAGATAAAAGACATTAAGCTTATATCTAGTTTCTTAAATTCTTGTTTTTGTTTTGTTTTAATCATAGACACACACATACTCTTCTAAAAATACATCTTGAAATAAGTTTCAGGGCTTCCTGAGCATTATCAACCTTATATGAACCATGTTTCCATTTCTTTCTAATTAATGTTGGTATTTCAAATATGGAACCCCTAAGACATAGACCATCTTTACTAGACCACTACTAAGAGGCTACCCTAAAGAACAAAAGTCTCCTTTCCCAGAATAAATAGCCCTACCTAGCAACATACCTTAAATTCCCTGGCAACAGAATTTTCACAGCTTTTCAAAACTACAGACACAATGGACTACAGACAACGGTAACAGTAATTTTTAGAAAAAGTACGCAATGAAAGATATACTCAATATAAGAACCAGATACATACCCTGCCTAAGCAGAGAAAAGCAGAATTTTTCCATAAATAATACTAAGATACAGAAAATGGGAAAAACACAAAGATATTAACACAGAAATTCATTTTTTAAAAAGAGATTAAGTAAATAAGGTCATTCTTTATCATTTTATTTACCAACATAATTAAAATTCTCCTTGAGAATAAAAGCTCACTAATTGAAAAACAATTAGAAAGGAGACAATAATCTTTGAAACTATAAAAACTAATGAGAAAATACGAAATGATTTAAAATATTTCAACTTCAACACAAACTGAAAAATATCAACACTGCATGAAATATACAGCACACATTTTATAAAAGGGCATGTTCTGCCCATTTCTAAGTTATAAAAGTTATTAAGACAGTTGTTTATTACCGTAGTTCTATTTCCTTCTCTGGACCTTAAAGCAGAGAAAGGGGAGACAAAAAAGTTTACACATGGATCTTAAGAATAAGCAACAGTGGGACTTCCCTGGTGGCACAGTGGTTAAGAATCCGCCTGCCAGTGCAGGGGACATGGGTTCAATCCCTGGTCTGGGAAGATCCCACATGCCGCAGAGCAGCTAATAAGCCCATGCACCACAACTACTGAGCCTGCGAGCCACAACTACTGAGCCCACGTGCCACAACTACTGAAGCCCACGGGCCTAGAGCCCGTGCTCCACAACAAGAGAAACCACCGCAGTGAGAAGCCCGAGCACCAAAACGAAGAGTAGCCCCTGCTTGCCGCAACTAGAAAAAGCCCACGCACAGCAACAAATACCCAACACAGCCACCAAAAAAAAAAAAAAAAAAAGAATAAGCAACAGTGAGAACTACTTCTCTGGCCATTAAAAGCTTAAGAGACTCATATTTCAATGAAGCCTAAGCCAGAGCTAATATTCATTTAATGTCCCAAATAGCACTTCTTGATTATTTCCGCAGTAGGGAACTCCCCATATTAAAACAAAACAAAACAGACAACTGAGCACAGAAGACAGACCAGTGGTATCTTCTGATGAAACGTTCCACAGTTTATACTTAAATCATAATTTATTTAAAAAAATTAAAATACAGACTACAGGCAATAGAACAGCAAGAGAGCATTCAAGTGCTACCATCTAAGAGACAGAGGAAGGGTGTTTATTCCACTAAAGAAGGCACAACTCAGGAAAAGAGGAGGGAACCAACACTGAGTGCTTATGTATAAGGAAGAATTACCTTTGGTGGTACATTATCTCATTTAATCATATTAACAATTAACATAGATTGTTACACCTATTTTGAGATGATACCCAAAGGGATTGCATCTGTTTTCGGATGATGCCCAGGGAACGGGTCTGGACTACAATTTGTTGATTTTAAAGCTTACAATCCTTAATAGCATAGTCATCTCCTTATACAATTGCTGCTTATTGACTAAATACATGCAGAGACCATTAACTACGATGGGGAACACAGACAAAATATCAAGTAGGCATCTGTGCCTGTCTATATGTATACTGTATTGATTCAGGGATAATGATAAGACATAATGAATTTAATTTGGGATGCCTACTGAATATTCAGGTAGAGATATCAGCAGACTGGAAAATGCATCTTGAACAAAGAAGAGGTTCTGCTAGAAACTGAAAGGTCACAGAATCAAAGCCATGAGGATGAGTAAGACGAGAACAAAGATGATATAATTAACTAGGGTATACCAAATATTTCAATGTGGTACAGAGAAGGGAGTTGCACAAAGGAACACCAGGAAAATAACAGAAATTAAAGGTATTTGGCAAAGTCAAATGTTATAAATTAGCTTTTGTGTATGAACGACTAGTATATCATCTGCAACAGGGCAAGTGCCCAATAAACATCACTAGGTGCAGTGTTCTCCCTGTTATTACAGATCTGCATTCAGAATTAATGTAATCTGTCAAAGAAAACAAATGTGTCAAAGCAGCCAGAGAAAACCATGCAATTCTCTTATATAAAATAATAGCAGCAGTAGGACCCAAAAGGTACAAAACCTCCTTAGAAAGCCTTAGTAAGAAAAAAATACTTGTCAGGAACAGATATGAGTTTGTCTTTTTGCTGTCACCAGCTAAATAACTATTAGAAAATACTAAATATGAACACTGCTCTGTTGGGTGCCTGATTTACAAAGTATTCTAAAAATTATGAAGAATCACTCACAAGGATCCCTTATATCAATAAAGAACAGTTTCAAAAGAAGATAAGGAAGGAGCATATTTGGCCCATGACACCTGTAGAATTCATAGTGTTTGGGGGTTAGTCAAAGTAACATGATACTCTGCTATTTATTAACAGTATAAACATTGACAAGTTTAGTTAACCTTTTCTAAATATCAAAGATTTCTGAAATCTGAAAAAAAGGATTAATAGCACTCACTTCACCTCGTAAGACTGTTAAGATTAAATGAGATAATGTATATAAATCTCTTAGCCTAGTACCTGACATATAAATGGCTCAGTAAATAGAGGTATATAATGCCCTGGGAATCCTGACACACACCTCGAGTTTAATTTTTTGTTATGGCTTACCATAATACCTTTTTTGTATTACATCTACTATTCAAGTGCTGACTGAATTTAGAGAAATTTTCTCTATACTGAAAATACAGTAGTATCAAAGAGTTTTAAAGCTGTATAGCACCTTAGTATGTAATCCAGTACTCATACCAAATTCAGAACTGCTTTCACAATACACCCGGCAGGTCCCATATTAGTCCACAGGCTTAATAACTCATAACTAACCTTACCCAACGGTTACAGCAGTCTTCTTTGTACTGACCCCAAATCTCCCTTCTGATAACCTTCCCTCCTTCTCCTGTTCTAGTTTTGCCTCTGGAGCACAGAACAACAGTGATCTTTCTCATGTGATAAAATAAATATAACTAAGCATGTTTCCCTTTCTCTTATCTTCTTCAACTACTAGCCAAATGATATGATTCCTAGATCCGACTATCCTGGCTAATTCCTTTCAAGTATAATAAACCAAAATAAACAGAGCCCGGATATATTCCTGTAGAATCTAGTGGATTGTCTTTTGTATTAGTTTCCTATTCCTGCAGTAACACATTAGCTTAAAACAACACTTTTGGAAGTCAGAATCTCCAGACTTCCCTGGTGGCGCAGTGTTTAAGCATCTGCCTGCCAATGCAGGGGACATGGGTTCGAGCCTTGGTCCGGGAAGATCCCACATGCCGCGGAGCAACTAAGTCTGCGTGCCAAACTTCTGAAGCTTGCACGCCTAGAGCCCATGCTCCGCAACGAGAAGCCACCGCAATGAGAAGCCCGTGCACCACAAGGAAGAGTAGCCCCCGCCCACTGTAACTAGAGGAAGCCTGCACGGAGCAACAAAGACCCAACACAGCCAAAAATAAATAAATTTAAAAATAAATAAAACTGTACCTTGTTTTTAAAAAAAGAATCTCACTAGTCTGAAAACAAGGTGTTGGCAGGGCTGCCTTCGTTCTGGGTGCTCTAGGTCAAAATCTATTTCTTGCCTTTTCTAGCCAAAGTGTGCATAAATTCCTTTGGCTCATAGCTGCTTCTTCCATCTTCAAAGCTGGCAGCATAGCATCTTCTCTCTTCCCTAACCTCTGCTTCCACTGTCAGAGCACTTTCTCTGACTTTCCTGCCTCTCTCAAGGAAGGACCCTTGGGGTTACACTGGGTTCACCC